AATAACAYAGCCAGCCCAATAGTTAATTAAATTCTTAACTTCCGGTGGTCCAAACGCGACATAATACATAGATAGATAGGCTAAAAGGTAAATTTAAAGTCGGACCGCCTTCGGCTAGTCCGACTAATAGGAGATGAGTCCGCCACGAAGACGCGTCTAAAGATAAACCCATGACAACGTTACATTACTTTACAATAGGTCAATGAATCACGCAAAAATAAGTACGCACATTTCAAGTCATGGTTGTRCTCTACATTTYTATTATTTAATAATCAATATTAATTCATTTGCAAGCTTTTATATCACCAACAACGAAAATGTGTAACGTTCGAGTTTAATTATGTTGGAAGATCAGAGAGAAGTCTTCAATTGTGTTGCATTGAACCTGGCAAATCTTCGGCTAGTATGATCTGCTCCTGGTCTCTACCACTTAATTTAAGAATTTCAAGAGATTTTTGTCGTGTTGTTTATCCGAATACTTGTGTTGTCTGTCGGACATAAAAAGTGTACATCTTTTTCTGTGATTATTTGAAAAACAGTAACGACAATTGAACGCAGCCATGAAAGCCGTCGCATTAATATTCCATCGAGTACATCGGTATTCGGCCGCAAATCAGCACTCAGCACCTACGTACCCCCAACCCCATAATAAATCCACTGAAGAATGATTATGCAAACCTGTATCGTTTGCTAATTCCTGCGGAGCTGAGCTCTGATTGGATTGCTGCTCCCTAAGGATTTTRGTGATGTCATATATTAGCATAGACCTATCCCAATTAGATATTATATTGTTATATGTGTCTTCATAGTACGATGGTCTAAGAGGTTAGCTAATGGTATGCTCTAGTGGGCGGCTACCCCCTCACTCCCTGGCCTTTAGGTTAAGACTAAATTTTATGTTCACTCTGGATAGCGTGGAGKGGCAGAMATCTCTAACCGTAACGTAAGCCGATTCGCCGCCTGAGCTTCATAAAATGTCCCGGAGGAATCGTTCCGTCTTTTTAGTTTTTTTATTTTCATTAGTTCTTATGTATGTCAGGGGGACGGGGGGGGGGTACATCTTCTGCTGTAGTGAAAGTCCTGAGTTCGAGACCTGCTGCTGGAATATCTATTTTTTTCACCTGTTTCTTTTTGGTTCGTTTCTTGTTTTCTTTTCTTCTTTTTTCTTTTCTTCTTTTTGTGTTGCTACTTTGTTTGTTTATCTCTAATAGAGATTTTATGTTATTTTCAAGTTAAAAATACCATCAAGGAATAGCATGGAACGCCTGCTAGAGATGGATGGTTACGGTTCGATCACTCATCAATATGACTAGTGACGAGAGGCCCTATACATAAGACCTTTCGAAATCAATGAAATGAAAATAAATTAAACATCCCATTAGAAAGTGAAAAGCACATATGATAGAATCGAATTATGACAAATAAACCCCATTGAATCATCAAAAAAGCGATAGGATGTCAGAGTAGTATCGGATTTCAGATTCACTATGGCTTTTACATTGAGTTTGAGATTGGTGCTCGGGCTTCCTTACGGAAATTCCCAAAATTCGAAAACTCGAAATCACTGAAATATCCTATTAGAAAGTGAAAAACACATATGATACAATCGAATTATGATGTACAGCATCGTTCTAGACCTCATGTTGTAAGAATTACTTGCCCGGGTCGCATGCGATGGTTGCGGGCAAAAGTTGTGACCGTCCAAATCGATGTCCTTTATGAACAGATTTTTTTCACTATTTTTATGATTCAATGAGGTCTATTTGTCATAATTCGATTGTATCATATGTGTTTTTCACTTTGTAATGGTATATTTCAGTGATTTCGAGTTTCCGAATTTTGGGAATTTCTGTAAGGAAGCCCGAGCACAAATCTGAAGCTGAATGTGAAAGCCATAGTGAATCTGAAATCCGATACTAATCGGGCCTCCTATCTGAAATCCTTTCAATATTTTGATGATTCTGTGTGCTCCATTTATCATAATTCGGTTCTATCATATGCGCTTTTCAGTTTCTAATCGGATCTTTCATTCATTTCGAGAAAAAAATTCGAACTGAAAAAGTGTTTTGGACATTTCCGTAAGGAAGCCCGAATTCGAGTCTGAAACTCAATCAGTGACAAATTTGGCATTTTTCGCCAGGCGTTTTCTGGTACTCACTAAATTTGATCTAAAAGGTCATGTGATTAATAKTCTGGGAACAACTTACAACTGAATTGATAAAATCAAACACGTCAGACTTGAAATGTYGCTAAGTGAGATATCTAATACGTTTTTAATTGAAATTGTTGACCTCTTAGGCCAAAAATTAATTTAAATATTTTATTAAAAAAAATATGCCTATAAAATAATCAAAGTCGCCTTTTTGTTATAGATAAACAAAGTTTCTTCTTGTTGTCTTTGAAACTATTTGCCCAAACAAGACTGTCTAGCGTAAGCATACTACTCGTACTTCTGATGCCTAGACCGATGCATTCCGATGAGATCACAGATACCACATTTGAAAATGAATAGTTTTTTTATCACATAAAAGCGCAAGTAGAATCTAACATTTACTAATGATATTCGTACATCTATACGTTTGAGCTTCCGGTCATGTGATAACACAGGCAACCCAAAACGCGACAAAATACATAGATAGATAGGCTAAAAGGTAAAACTTAAGTCGACCTAGCCTTCGGCTAGTCCGACTAACAAGAGGTTGCTTTCGTTTACTTCAGCGTTAAAGAAAGGCAAAAACCTTGATACACAGAATTAAATGAACTTT